CTACCTGCTGTTGTTGCTGCCCGTGCCGAGGCTGAAGTCAGCCCGTTGTTCATCAGTGCTGGTCTCGACCCCCACGATCCCATATTTGTGCAGGAAGCTTTCCTATATGATGAGAAGGAGATTCCTCCCCCGCCCTGCTCGGATAAAGTGGTCCTCGAGGGCCCTGAGGGGGAGGAGTTGGCGGTTGAGGTTGAGGGGGTGGCGTCTCAGGCCCAGGGCCTCGATTGGACGTAGCCCCTGATGGCTCATGCACGCGTCCAGGCTTAGTAGAGCTTGAGCGTTCGTCGTGGTATATTGCAGCGCTTGCGCCTGAGTCTAATGCGCCTGGAGCAGTCATTCGAGGCCCTGTCGCAGGCTACCTTCCTCAATCGCCTAGTATCGCCGAGAGCGTTGCGCTCTGTTTGATTGGCCAGATCGCCGACCGTGCGACCCTGGCCGGCAGTGGCTGCACCTCCGCGATTCGGCGATTCCAGCAACCTGTGCAAGCCCAGCTGCGTGCGTCCAACCAGGCAGCTGGCATTATGAAGTTTGGTCGTGGCCTTGAAGGCCACCAGTTCATCTCGCACGTTAAGGCTCATCGGTCCCAGGAGCAGATTGACAGTCTCTCGGGCGAGGAACGTCACTGGGCCGAAGCGAACCGAATTGCCGATCATCACGCTAAACTCGCTGCCAGTTTGCACCCTGCTCCGTCGCCAGAGTTGTTGGCCAAGCTCGATCTCGCGAGGAGTCGGGCCGCCGATTTTGTTTCATTGGCTGCCGCCGTCCCCCCGTGTTTCCTCGAGGAGAGTCCGCAGCGGTGGCGGAGACCTACAGCACTGTGCCGACAGAAAAGCTCTCGGGGGGAGGGGTGGCACTCTTGGGGTCTCGGCGAACTCGGCTGGCAGTGCGAAGTCTGCTTCAAGGTTGCACCATCGTGTCGCAACTTGCCATTGAATGGTTGTCTCGGGACCCCGTCGTTTTTGAAGCCTCTCACGGAAGACTCGTTGGGGCATCAGCTTGTCGCCGTCAGTGGTTCTCGTCTTGCTCCGTTGCGTTCTGTGCGGTGCCGTGCCGAGGAAGAGAGCACCGAGGCTCGACGGGGTTCCCTGCTCTGTCTGAAGTGTGGAGGTTGGAGCCAGGACAAGGCCATAAAGTGGAGCAAGCCCTGCGCCCCCTCCACCAACACTGGTAAAATGATGTTGTCTCGTTTTGGGAGAGGGCTCGCCCCGAATCCCCGAATTCGTGCGTTGATCGACCGAGCTGTCCCTGCCCCTCGCGTCGGTCTTACAGTGGCTAGCGCGCGGGATGTCAGAGCGTCGACGTCAGTCGTTGAATACTCGGTCGACAGTGTAATCCCGCATGAAGCTCGAATGGCTCGCCTGATGCAGCGGGTTCGAGCTCGCGAGCACAGCCGCCAGGTTTAAGTTTCTCGGAGCGGGTGCGCCTGTCGCGAGTGCTGAGAGTGGCAAGTGTCCACCACTCTCGGCCTCACAAAATCTCCCCCCGAAGGTGCACCCGCCCGCGCAAGTTTTGTGGGCTGGCCCCTCTCTCCTCGGACGTGTCCTCCTGGGAGTCGTCTCATCTCATCTCATATCATCATTTGTTTCCCCCTCCTCTTCCTCTTACTCCTGCTCTTGCTCCTGTTCCTCCTCCTCCTCCTCCTCCTCCTCCTCCTCCTTTTCCCCCTCCTCCTTTTCCTCCTGTTCCTGCTGTTCCTTCTCCTCCTCGTCCTCCTCCTCCTCCTCCTCCTCCTCCTCCTCCTCCTCCTCCTCCTCAGTATCATCATCCTCTTCAGCTCGCGCCGCAGGACACCGGAAGCGGCGGCCAGCCTCGAGGCAGCCGCCGCCAAGGCCGAGCCCGGGTCTTTGGGCCAGCGCCTGCAGCTGCGTTTCGTTGTGTTCTTCGGCTTGATCGCGAGACCCAGGGCAGGCACAGACCCAGGGATCCAACGTATTGGAAGAAACAAAATGGAGGGTTTTCGCAAATTTCGGCCCCCAGGGGCCCTCGCTGGGCCTCGGGACCATCAAGAAACGATTGAAATTGAAACACCAGTCTTGGGGAATGGGTCGAGACTTCCGGGGACCGCACATTGAAAAAATCACGACATCGGATCTCTGGGGACGCGGACGGGGCACAGGCGACAGCATCCGGCTGCAGCCTCGAGGGTGCAGAGATCGGCTTTGGCAGGCCGAGCGGTGCTCGAGAACGAGCTCCCCCGCACTGCTCCGCGGCAGGCGCCCCCTTTGCGGGGGTGTCGCCGGCCAGCAGTGCCCCCCGCCCTGCCGCGCCGCGTCGGGCCCCCCTATTGGGGGCCCTCTGGGCCTCGCGAGGGGCCCTCGGGCCTCCCCGGGGCGCCTCGGGGCCCCTAGGGACGGCACCCTGGGCCAGGAGCTCCCCTGTGGAGCACGCCCTGGATGGGGCCCCCGGAGGCGCCCTTGGGCCAGGGACGCTCCCCGGGGACACCCGGGGCCCTCCTGGGGCCGCCTCGGGGCCCCTGGGGCCGGGGCCCGCTGGGCCTCCTCGGGGCTCCCCGGGGGCGCCCATGAGCCGGAAGCACGCCTCTGGCAGCGCCCGCTCGTCGCGCGCAGCGGGCAGCGGGCGGGCGGGCAGGCCGCAGCAGAGGGGGCGCTCCGACGACGCTCGCTGGCGTTTGGCTCGTCGGCGGCTCCGCGGAGAGGCGGGGCCTGGCTCGAGGGGCGGAGGGCCTCGAGCGGGCGGGGCTGCGGCTCGGGGCCCGCCTCCCGCACCCTTGGGGCCCCCCACCCCTCAGGGGGGCTCCACCTCCGCGCCCCCGATCGATGACCAATTGGTAGAGAGGGAGGAAAAACAAACAAGCAAAACAACAACACATCACAAAACGAACAATGAATAACGAGAATCAAAGAAATACTTGTTTTCCAAATATGTAAATATTGATCCACGTATATATATATATATATATATATACATACATACATACATACATACATACATACATACATACATACATACATACGTACATATACATACATATACATACATATACATACACATACATACATATACATACATACATACATACATACATACATACATACATACATACATTCATACATACATACATACATACATACATACATACATACATACATACATACATACATAGTGTTTAACCTGAAGTTCTGGCGCTCCGCGCGGAGTTCCCAGATCCGCGCCTGGGCCCCCCCAGCGGCGCCTCCGGCGGCGCCCTGGCGCGCGGAGCGCGCCAGGGAGGGAGGCCCCAGGCGCGGATCCAAGAAATCCGTGCGGGGCGCCAGAAGATGAGGTTTCTGGCGTTGTTCCTTCTTACAGAGGTGAGTCGGGCATGTCCCTCCATAGCTCTATAGGGGGAGCAGTCAACAAAAAGTATTCCAATAATGGAGTACGGGGACGATGTTCCCACGATTTGTTGGCTACGCTAAGCTAAGTTAAAGCTAAGCTAAAGCTAAGCTGAAGCTAAGCTTAAGCTAAGCTATAGCTAAGCTAAAACTAAACTAAAGCTAAGCTAGAGCTAAGCTAAGCTAAGCTCAGATGAGATAAGCAACGCTAAGCTAAGGGGGCGTAACTGGGGGAACCGCGGGGCGGATCCTGGGGGAACCGCGGGGCGGATGCTGGGGGAACCGCCCGGGGTGTATTCCATTGCCCGCCCCTTTAAGCTACTGAGTAAGAACCCTTCTAGGCAGAGCCTAGGTAGGGAAATCCACTCTGCTGAACTTGAAGTCGTCATCTCCACTGCTCGCGCAAACATCCCACCCACCCACCCGCAACTTGGTTTGCAAAACCTCTTAAGACCGACTACGACGACACCGACGACAACGACTAGGACGACACCGACGACGTCTCCGACGACTTCGACGACGACAACGACGCCGACGCCGACGACGACGAAGACGACGACGACGACGCCAACGAAGGCGACGACGAGGGAGGAGGAAGGACGACGACGGCGACAACGACGACAACGACGACAACGACGAGGGAGGAGGGAGGACGGCGACGACGCGAACGACGACGAAGGAGGAAGGACGGCGACGCCGACGACGACAACGACGAGGGAGGAGGGAGACGACGACGACAACGACGACGACGACGACGACGGCGACGAAATAGGAGGGACGACGACGAGACGCCGACGACGGACGACGACGACGACGTGGGAGGAGGAGGAAGGACGACCACGGCGACAACGACGACGGAAACGACCACGACGCCAAGAGGACGACGACGACGACGAACACGAGAAAAGACAGAGGACGACGTAGGCGACGACGACGACGACGCGGGAGGAGGGAGGACGGCGACGACGACGACGACGACGACGTCAGAGCGCGCTCGCACGCTTTTGTTGAAAATCCGTCCCGCGACGACGCGCGCGTCTGCACTTCGTTTCATTTGTTGCAGAGGATTCTCGCGACGGCACACGCGCAAGGGCGTTCGACAGATTTCGACATGCGCGCGCGCGAAGCCCGTTTGGTAGCACGTTTTGAAAATATTGAGAAACCTATGGTTTTCTTAAGATTTCGCAAGAGCTCGCGCGGAAACTTTTTCAGCAAATCAGTGTTGCGAAACCAGGTGTTTTTATATGTTGTTTGGAAACTCGATTGCGAAATCCTTCCGGCACCTAAGGTTTTTGAAGGATTTCGGCATGCTCGCGCGACGACGCGCCCGTGCGCACTTCGTCTCATTTGTTGCAAGGGATTCGATATCATATTTAGGATGGACGATATCATGGCCTGCCTGGGATGGTACGATATCATATTTAGGATGGACGAGTGTGCAGAAAATATATGAAATCAGATTGTCACAGGGGGAAGCGAAAAGTCCGAGGGGGGGAGGGTAGAGTCTTAGAGTACGGGGACGATGTTCCGATTATCTTTCGGCTATTTTTGAGTATGTGTTGACTCGTTTCGATGTGTCCTCCCACAGCCGCCTGTGGGAGGCCACGCCCGACGGCCGCCCCTGGAGGCGGCCGCCTCCGCCGCGCGCCCCCGCGAGCGCGGCAGGAGGCGGAGCGTTCCCGCAGGCAACAGCTGGAGCGCCGGCAGCAGGACCCCCCTCCGCGGCCCGCCCCTCCCCCTCCCCCTCCCCTCCCTCCTCCTCCTCCTCCTCCTCCCCTCCTCCTCCTCCTCCTCCTGCTCCTCCTCCTCCTCCTCCTCCTCCTCCTCCTCCTCCTCCTCCTCCTCCTCCTCCTCCTCCTCCTCCTCCTGCGCAAGACATTGCGCGCCGAAGATCCTCCGACGAGCAACCGAAGGCTAAGCCGACGAGCTAGGGCACGGGCTCAGTGGCCAGCACCTTGAGAACACGAGAGACGCCTGCTGCAGTGTGCCTGTACTCTCCTCGCCTGAGCCTGTCCCAAATCTTCTTGGCCCAGGCAGGAAGACATCCTGAGCAGCTGGAAGACAGACAGGAGAGGCGAGATGAAGAGATGACACCACAGCGAGAGCAACCAACCAGAACTGCCTTGTCCTGGAGAGAAAACTTGACCAGAGCGCGAGGCCTCTCACAGTTGTGACTGAGGGCCTGGGTCGCTCTGACTGCGCGGGAAACAACGTCCTGGGGCAAGGCCTCCTGCACTAACAGGAGCTTGGGGGTGGGGGGTTTGCCACGCTGGAGCGAGGGAAGGTGGGAGGAATCGGGAAGGCCCTCACCCACCTTGCCAACCCACTTCACCCAGGACTTTAAAACCTTGCTTCTAGCGGCGGCGGCTGCGGCTTGCAGCGGCGGCACGCGGAGGGCCTGGACCGCCCACTTGGCGTGGCAGTCGGCCAAGTCGTTGCCGATCTTGTCACGAGCAGTGACGCGTCCCGATTGAACGTCCGTGCGCGAGGTGTGGGCAGACACCTTCACGAAGCGAACCGCCTCACAACACTCAGAACCGTCGAAACCCCAATCCTCGAGCCTGGCCCACACCTCGCGCCAAAGGAAGCAGTGTATGTCGAGCACATTTTAGTGGTGTGCACACGGCCTCTGGACAACACACCGTCGAAGACATATTTAGAGTCGGTGTGCAGAACGAGGGGCGGGCACGCATGCGTGAGACACTGTAACAGGGCCGCCAACTCTGCCTCATTGATGGTGGGCGAATCGGAGAAAAGCGGACCACAGATCAGAGCTGATGCCTCACGGAGGGCTGGGGCGCCACTGGACAAGGCAACCACAGCCCAGCCTCCAGAGGCCCAGGGTCCCATGTCCCCTTCAAAAATCGAGCCATCCAGGAAGACATCTCCCGTGAGCCGATCAGGGGACCCGTGGACCCAGAGCAGAGGAGGGAGGTCAGGAAGCGAGGGTCGCTTCAAAAGCGGCATCGGTGCTAAGCATCTCTCAGCGAGCAGCTGCAGGAGACCTCCGCAATTTGCAGCTTCACCGAGAGACTGACACAAGACGTGCGGCACATCAATATGCAGGGCGTGCTGCGCGCAGCTGCAGTGTCTGTGCGTGAGCGTGCCAAGCTTGACGGAGCCAGCGGCAAGGCAGGTAATGCAGTTGGGGCCCACGGGGTAGCCAGCTTTCCACTGCCTCGCCATTGGCCACTGCGCTCCAATCGCGACCGATCGCACGTACGCACGGTGCTGTGGCAGAGCCTTGGAGCGCAAGAAGGCGGAGATGGGAGCTGAGAGCACACCGTTACAAAATTCAGGCGCTTCAAGATGTTCGGCTATCTTCGCGCACTGCCAAAGGTACACTGCTCTCATGACATGCTGCTTAACTGCATACGATCAGGCCTCATAAATCTTCAGAACTCGACCTTCAGGACAACTCCAGAGATCCAAGGAACGAGCACGAACTCCAACCCGATGCAGAGAAGCCCAGAGAGTAGTGAAAGGTCCCGCAGTAGAGCCCCAGGGGTACTCCAAGAGGCTGAGGTGAGCATCAACTTGCCTGAGACTCGCATCTAGGACATGTCGGGGCATCCAAGATTCATGTAGAGATAGCAGGAAGAACTTGACGGGTAGCCAGGTGGCCCTGATGATGGGATCGGGGTCCTTGGTGGGCGCCAGCATGAGGAAGAGAGTGAGGCCCTTACCTGCTTGCTTATGATCCTGTAGCTTGCCGGCTGAACGGCGGAGCGCGTTGAGCTCCTTGTTGTTAACTCCAGTGACGGCCGTGCCGAAGGAGGTGGCGCCCTCGAGCGCCGCTCGACTCATCTGCCCTAGTAGCTTACGTCGGGGTCGGCCTGGCTTCAAAGCAGACATGCGAGCTCGACGTTTCTTGATGACCCTGAATCGAACAGCCGTGGCGCACCTGAGTCGCACTTTGCCAGACGCGTAGTCAACCCCCAGGTTGCGCTCAGCGACAGCGGCCTGCATCCCAAGATGCCGAAGGCTGCGAGCGAGACGAAGCCGAAGTTTCTGCGAATTGCTTAACACCCTGCCTTTATCAACTGCGAGCTGCATGTCAACTCTGTGCAATTCAGAAACCAATGTGGTGGCTGACTGCTGGAGCTCTTCTCCCACACGCTCCTTTCCACCGAAGCGCTGGAGGGAGAAGTCATCCACGTTGACGGCTACGACAACGGAGCGATGCGCCGCTTGGACTATCAAGGGGGCCGAGCAATAGCAGTTGCAGCATCAGCGTGGCAAACGCACATCCTGGCACCACCGTTTGCTGTTCATTAATGAAGTCACTGCAGACCCCTTGAAGATCCAGCACGCGCGGCGCACGGTAAACATCTATCAAGAGGCGAAGCTGCCAGAGCGGGAAGTGTGTGGTTATAGCAGCTTGCAGTAAATGATGATGTTGCACATACTCAAAGGCTTTCTTCAGATCCAGGAGTATAGTCCCTGAACAGTGCCCCCGTACCGTACAGTACTCGGACCAGGCACTAGATATCCAAACACACTTCTCCGCAGAGCGCCCCTTGGTAGACCACCAAAAATGTCGGAAGTTGCTTTTCTGCCGCGCACTGATCAGAGGCCGACGAAGACGACATTGCAGACGGCAAAGCACGCGCAGCAATCCCAGAGGTCGCACACCTCCGAGGCGTTTCATGATGAAAACGATTCTGCTGCACATACGCGGTCAAGCCAAGTGGCGCTCTATGTGCGCAATGATGCCACAGAGCAACTCGAGCGCCACATCTGGGAGCAGGAGGAGGTTCCTAGGGCTGACATGATCGAATCCTGAACCAGTTTTGGTTGGGAAGGTGCGGATAACAGCTTTGATCTGGTCAGGCGTAGGGGGATCGGGTCGATGCCCCAGGAACTCGGGCCAAACCAGGGGTTGCTTTTGAGTGTGCACATTCCACCATCCTTCCAATTCTTTTTGTAATATACAAACATCCTCCTGCATGTTGGCTGGCCTGAGCGCGCTGTGGTCCACGCAGTTCGGCTGCCAGCCGATCGGCAAGGCAGGGATGGAGAAGAGCGCGGAGGCACCATTGATAGAGTGGGTATCTACCCATTCACGCCACTGCTGCTCCTTTCGCCTAGCGGACTGTTGATGTTGATTGTGTGCTGCTTGGTCTGCCCAGGAACGTAACATAACCACCAGGTCTCCAGGAACCTGCGTAATGTTGCCCAGGATGTAGGCCCAGGAAAAGTAGAGGCCCTCTCGGGGCAAGACATGGGACCTGGAGAGCTTGCGGAGCCTGTTGATGCTAGACGTCCAAGCCTGCTGCTTCTCCGAGATTTTATGCTGAGTGTGGGCGAGATCCGAAAGAGCGAGCGAAACCTGCTTCCACCAAACAGCGAGCACAGAAAGCTTGGGAAAACGAACGGGCCCAGGTCGACGAACATATCGGAAGCGAGGCTTGAGCGGCTTTTCCCGCCCACAATACTTGTCAGCCTCCTCAGGGGGAAGCTGGGGCACACGTACCCACTCAATCTCAGCAGCGGCAATAAAGGCATCCCACTTGGCATCTATGGTGTCAGTGTTTGAACCGCTGCGGTGTCCTCCCAGAGCTCAGATTGGGGCTCCGAGACACAGCCGACTGGCCGTATGACAGGAAACTTGCGAGGCACCTGGATCATACGAACTTGCACATCACTTGACACGGCATCCATGCGCAATAGCACAGGTGAGTGAGGTGAGGTAGGAATGTCATCGAGGACCTTGATGCTATGGGTGCCCAGGAGGTTAGAGGAGACAACGAAGAAATCTATGGTGCGTCCTGCGGGCGTGCACGTTCCCGCTGTAGGCGCAACAACCTCTGCGTCGAGCTCTCGCGTCCAGCCCGAAGCCTCCAGCTGCGTCGGCTCGATCTGCCAATCACCAGCAAGCACAAAGGGGAGATGAGCCGCTTTGAGTGCAGAGCCCAGCTTGGTGAGAATACCCCAGTTAAAATCTGCGAGATTGCCGGCGTCCTTCAGGCAGATATTTCCCAAGAGAAAGCCCCCTTTAACCATGCCTCCTACATGAAGAAGCGAACAGCGCCCAGGGAAAATTTCAAACAAAGAGGCTTCCAGGAGAGCCAGACCGATACGTTTGGGAACCATTGAGACCAGTCCACCAGAGGTGCCCCCATCGCGCGTGGGAACCGCAGGCAAAAACTTAGCAGACCAACCATCACGACGTAATGAGGCCTCAGCGTAATCTAGGTCCAAAACTTTGGGTCTCTTGAACGCACAACGCGTCAAAACCAGAGAAACCACTCAAAACTTTCTCGAGGCTGGAATACTCGGTGACGTTGGAGATCCCCAGGAGCCAATCTCGAGTCTTTCGGTGCGAGGTGGGGCTAGGAGCTCGCCGCTGGAGCCCGTGGTGAGCGAGAACCAGAGCCTTCACGCCTGCGCTCGGACACCGCAGCAGGCTTGCAGGCCCGCCGGACAGTGCGCCCTGCACTGGTGAGTACGTCGCTGAGCACCGCTTGCACCTGCTCGGGCTGGGCTCCGTTGCGCGAGGCGATGGTGTCCACCATGGTAGTGTTGGACAGGGACGCGAGGATGCCGTGCTCGACCGACGCTGCCTTGCGCGCCTCGTCAGCCCAGCTGTCATCGAAGTCCATGTCGTCGCCACCGCGTGGTGTGTCAGCTTCGCTCTCTTGATCAGAAACTTCCTGAACTGGAGCTGCTCTGGCCATGTCACCTGGTGGCACCGGTGTCGCCGCAGCTGGCGGTGGTGCGGTAGCAGCACGCTGCGCAGCCTGCTGGTGTTCGGCCTGCGCCTTGGCGGTGAGCAGCTGGTTGAACTGCATGGCCAGGCTGGGGTCGAGCTGCTGGAAGCGCTGGAACATGATGCGTTCTGGTGCTTCAGCTTCCCCTTGAGACACTTCAGTTGCAATCTGAGTCCAGGCCTGCCTCGAGCGGTCAGCTGCCTGGCGTTCTTGTGCCTGTAGGCTCCTCTGCTCCAGGCGCAGCTCCACGACACGTGGCAGCTGTTTCTGGAGGACGATGGCTGCCTTGGACAACTTGTTGTCGACAGCGGCCAGCTTGGACTTGAGCTGCCCGTGCTCCTGCTGCGCCGCCTTGGAGAGCGCGTGTGGGTCCCCATTGCGCTGGGCACGCACTGCTGCCACTTGGGCGCGCTGCCCGTGGGTGAGCAGCAGCGCGGCGTAGGCGTAGTGCTCCTCAGACATGGCGGCAAAGGCATCCACTTGCTGAACGTCCAAGGGCTTGGTGGCTGCCGCGTTGCTCGTGCTCCCGCCAGCCTTGCCACTACGACGCCAAGCGCCACCAGCAGCAGACGGTTCAGCGAACTGCACCTTGGGGAGCGGCTTCCAACAGTGCATGCACCACTTGTAGCGATCCAAGTTCTTCTTGCACCCGCAGGAAGTGCACACGACGGGCATGGCTGCGCAGCGCGCGCCGTGGTGAAAGCGCGTGCTGCTGAGACCAGCACGCAGAGAGTGGTGTGCCGCGGGCAAGAAACCCCAAGCCGCCTGAGCCAGGCAGGCTACGGAAGGGTCCAAAGCTAATCGCTGATTCTCGGGCGTCAATAGCCCTTCACAACGTTTAGCCTTGAGCCAAAATGGCTACGGATCTCCTCCTCCTCCTCTTCTTCCTCCTCCTCCTCCTCCTCCTCCTCCTCTTCTTCCTCCTCCTCCTCCTCCTCCCCCTCCCCCTTTCTCATCCCCCCTCCTCTTCCTCCGCCTTCTCGTCCTCATCTCTCCTCCTCGTCCTCCTCCTCGTCCTCCTCCTCTTCCTCCTCCTTCTCCTCCCCCCTCCTCCTCCTCCTCCTCCTCCTCCTCCTCCTCCTCCTCCTCCTCCTCCTCCTCCTCCTCCTCCTCCTCCCCCCCCCTTGGCCGCCGGAGGCCGCGCCCTCGCCCTCGCGTGCTCCCTGTCGAGCTGCGGCCCGGCACGATCGACGAAGCATGGGACCTCGCTCTACGTGCGGGGGCGGCCAAGAGGGGGGCGATGACCAGGGGGGGGGGGGGGGGGGGGGCGGATATCATGGCGGGGGCCATGGTATTTCCCCAGATCTCATGGCGCACCTTCTTATGTCATTGCGTCCCTGGCCCCCCCACTGGGCCGCGCACATGCCGCCGGTCATGATTCGCACCCCCCCCGCTTGGACACCCCCCTCTTGGCCGCTCCCGATCTACGTGGCTCCCATCGCACTCGAGGGCCGCATCCCGGCAGTAATCTCGAGCAGCCAGAAAGTGTCGAAACGGTGCCGAAAGAGTATCGCCTCCCGGGGCCCGACACTTGAAGACCCGCGAGTGTCGGCACTTCTCTTGGTGCTCGAGATTCTTTCTGGTGACCTTGGCAAGAGCAGGTTGGAATATCATGGACCTCGCTCGGGAAACAATGGGATGGGCCCGGACTGTCTTGGAGAATGTCGCTCCGGAGTTCGAAGTGCATTTCGCGCGGACTTTCTGTCGGGCCAGGAATGAAGACTACAGATAATCCACGATCGGCACGGGCATGAACGCTCGACCCGCGTAACAGTCGGGCATATTCCTGGAGGAATAACCCAAAATAGTCAAAAAATAGTCTGGAGACGAATTGCCGAGTATTTTTGAGTATTGCGAAGGCCTTGTGGCCGGTGCCGCCGACCCTGAACGGCGACGTCGTCGTACAAGCGCTCTCGGGGGCCCCTTGGGGGTAGTTTTGGGGCCTCTTGGGAGGCTCTTGGGGGCCGCTTGGGAGCCTCGTGGGGGCCTCTTGGGGCTTCCTGGGGGTCTCTTGGGCGCTTCCTGGGGCCTCTCGGGGGGCTTCTTAGGGGCCTCTGGGGGCCTCCTGGGAGCTTCTGAGGCCGAGGGCTCGAAATGACCGTTCGGTTCGCTTGCACAGTCTGGGCTCCCTCTTGGAGCCGTCTTGAGGGTTTCTTCAGCTGCCTTGGAGGCCTCTTGGGCGGTCTTGGGGCCCTCTTGGGTCGATTTGGGGCCCTCTTGGATGCCTCTTGGGCCATCTTGGGGCGGTCCTGGGGCCTCTCTTGGCCTGTCGTGGAGCGTCGGGAAGCTGACAAGGCGAGAACGCAGAAATCT